TACCACAACATGCATACAACAGAATACCCAAACTGTGGGACCTTGCACACATCACACTGGGACAAAGCAGCAATGGAGATAAAAGCGAGCTCCTTGGTATACAAAAATTTCTCACACGACTGGCCGCCCTGGGCCCAACCCCCAATCCGTCAGAATTGCCGACAACCATAGCCACAAGGCCCTTCTGCTGTCGGCGTTCGATCTCCACCACTGCTCAGTCCCTCCGACCGTCTTACCCCAAGTCTATCGCTAAGCCCGCCCCACGTCGTCACTCCGCCCGTCACTTAGGCTCGTCAAGCCTGTTCAACGCCACGGACCTCGCGCATAGCTCGCGCAGCATTGCAGCCGAGATCAGAGAGAGGGAGAGGGAGGGGTTGCGAGAATTTATAGTGCTGAAGGCGGCGGAGAGCCAGCGTGAGGTGCAGGCAGCCTGGGTTGTAGACGAGCAGGGCAAAAGAAGGGTTGGGGTTCCAGAAGGGTCGAAGGAGGCGAGTCGAACGATCTGTGTGATTGGGGTGGTTGTTCAAGTGGTGCTCGCCTTCCGCTCTTACCACCTTGATCGGACCATCCCAATCACCCAGCCAATCGTTCGCGATGATGGGTAAGGAGAGGATTGGACTTCGATTGGGGGAAGATGAAGAGGCATGCAAGAAGGGAATGCGTGGCAAGAAGGGAAGATGGCGTGGGGGTGCAAAGCGGGCGAACGGGTTTACGCGGCGCGCAAAAAATTGAAAAACAGCCGCGCGCGCAAAAATTCAGAATTCCTACCCACACTAATTCCTAACTGTTTCTTGGATTTCTCGGCGGGCCGCTAACCGGCCACGCGAGGAAGACATCAGGGGCAGTCCCGAAAATGAAGAATAAGTTTCCGTTCTATCCCTCCTCTCTGCTCAAGGAAAAGGAAAAAAAAGGAGAAAAGAAGAAAAGGAAAAAAGAAACAAACCCCGTTCTTCCCAATCACCTAGAACCCGTACTTCGAGGCTTTACGCGGGATTCTCCCCTGAGGGTACGGGAAGCCACTGAGTACGGATCCTGGCTTATCACAAGCACGTGTTCTATTTGAATAGAACACCTGTCTGTTCAAAGATAACAAACGTATGTACTATTTGAATAGAACTCATGTGCGTACTATTTGAATTTCAGGGGGCAACTTCGAGAAATAGACTTCTTCAGGGAAAGCTGAAAAGTACATATGTGCGTTTTGTTTGGGGGGAAGACTGTAGGCCTACCCTCAAAACTTGCAGCCGCATGCACATCGTGTCGGGGGGGGGAATGGCTGGCACGACAACTCAGTACAAGGCCCAGGCCCCACCTTTGGTATGTCTGTGTGAGAAAGAGGGACTCTGGTTGCCGCATGTGATGGAGGCTTGGCTCGGGACGAAGGTAGCAGGTGTAAGGCCCACCCCTAAGCTGCCCAGGCCCCACCTGCGGTATACCCGCGTGAGAAAGAGGTGACTTTGGTTGCCACATGTGGTGGAAGCTTGGCTTGGGATGAAGACAGTACGTGTAGGGCCCGCCCCTAAGCCGCGTTCCCTTCAGTCAGCGTGATATAACCTCGGAGGTCACGAGGCAACACGAAGGCAAAAATAGCTCCTTTGTGTGGCGTCCGTTACTGCATTTTTTCATATATGCAGCTTTATTTGCATTGCCATGCATGCTTCTATATTTCTGGATATGGCTTTATACAGTATGTCCGTCTGCGTTTATATGCTTTTATATGCTAGTGTACCACTATATGCGTCTGTATATATATGTCGATGTGTGAGAGGATGTGATTGGCGCCGTATCATTGGATGCAGTGCACGGTTGCACAGGGGGCGAAGGATCCACTAACCACAGTAGGAGCTGATCGTCGAGCCAGTTGATCTTGGACCGTGCAGATCCGTCATCTTGACGGCTGACAATCCATCGGTTCAAATTGAAGGTCACCCGGCTGGTTGTCTATCTATCCCCCCACAAGGCCGAGGGGTTGCTAGAAATCGGAGGACGATCGACTGAAATCGAAACGCCATTTTCGGCCGTCGATTCGCGTCGCGGGATCGAAAACCTACTGATTGAAATTTCTCATTCTGAAGAAAAGAGGAAAAAGAACGAACGTCCACGGGGGTGAGCTCGACAGAGCGGCGGCCATAAAAAGTGAATGACATGTTAGATTTACAATTATTACAATTACAGACAGATAGGGCCTCGCTGCACTACTCTCGAAATGTGCGAGAGTGAATCTTCCGCTAGAACATGGAAAGATACACGGCCATGATTTTTGTCTTTTGTGCATTTCAAGAGTAGTGCAGCGAGGCCCATAGCCCATGAACACAACGTCATTATGCTTTGCTGAGCTGCCTGGGCGGAGAGCCTTTGCTCAGCTCAGTGGTGCGGCGACTTTTGAAACGGACGCCGGGCCCGATTCCCCCTGCTTTGATAAAAAACTGCCTCGCTTCACTACTCTCCAAATGTGCAAAATGCGACTGAATCAACCCCTAGAACATGGAAATATACATTGCCATCTTTTTTGTCTTTTGAGGATGTGGAGCGTAGTGCAGCGAGGCCCAGCGAGGCCCAAAAACAACGTCAAACGTCATTATTCTTTGAATTTTGTAATAATGTTATCGTTTTTCAAATCGCCGTTTAGAATTATCGACCGTCAAATGAAACTACACTATTGTGCTGAGTGTTCGAATCCTGACGAGGAATATGGAATATGGATACCATAACGGTAGGGCCTTTTATTTCCAAAATCGGCATCCTATCAACCGCCAGATTTTTTATTTTTTATTTGATTTGATTTTATTATTATTATTATTATTATTATTTTTTATTTTTTTCAACCGCCAGATTACTCTACTACAGCGTCTCATATCTCATTAGCAAGGATCAAGAAGGGATCAAGAGATACGGACCCTAAGATATTGAAGATCGAAGGCCTGCTACGGTAGCAGAATCTCGGCCAAAGACATCGTTTGCCTATCTTTGGGCCTCGCTGCACTCCTCTCCACATGCACAACAGACAAAAAATACGGCGGTGCATCTTTCCATGTTCTAGCGAAAGATTCGTTCTCATTTTTCACATTTGGAGAGTAGTGCGGCGAGGCCCTTTTTCTTTCTTTCTTTTTTTCCTACCAGTCTTCCGCCAGTCTCCCGCCCGAGGTATCAGCGGGCAACGGTTCACTTTCAGCGCATCCAGTCTGGTTCCAGTTGTGGGGTCCAGTTCGGCTCCGCCGAATCCCCCCCCTCATGGAGGCACTGAATCCCGAACCTGCGTGAAGACCGAGCCTGACTCCGGGGCTAGGTCCCACTTACACGAATTAAGCGATATTGACCGGAGATAGCAAAGATCAACGGCCAGAATCTCTTTTAATCCGTGCAAGTGGGACCTTGCACCGCGGAATCTGCCGAAACTGCTGAAGGGTCGCCCAAGCCGACACTTCTGGGTAATCACACGCGGGGGGGAAGGGGGGGGGGAAGGGAGGCGAGCGGTCGCTCTGTGGGCCAGACGGGCTTAGGTCAGGTAGTAAATGTGCTATGCTTGCGGTTGGAAATGAGGAATGTAGCTGGGAAAAAAACCAGATGCGTTCAGTCGTGGCTCGAACACAAGTTCGGCGGGCCCTGCCGCTGCTGGCGGTGGGCCCACAAGGGAACGCTACCGGTAGTATAGTATGGATGGTGGCACTACTGGTAGTATGGATGTTGGGCCCACCAGGAAACACTACGGTTAGTACGGATGGTGGCGCACCCTGGGTAGTAGGGGCAGACTACCGGTAGTATAGTATGGATGGTGGCACTACCGGTAGTATCGTATGGATGGTGGCACTACCGGTAGTATGGATGGTGGCACTACCGGTGGTATCGATGGTGGCTTTACGGGTAATACCAGTACTCCTCCCCCTACCAACACTACCGGCGGAGGTAGGAAGTCCGGCAGGGCCGCCGTGGATCGAAGTCGAAGGCTGACGCTTGGTGAGGAGCCGGCGGGGATCGTGCGGCGCTTCCGCCTGGCACCAGAAAGGCGGAAACCAGGGGGGGGGGGAATTCCCTCCTGACCGTTCGGCTTGTCGGCTCCAGTGCATGCGTCCGTCTTTGGGTTTCGTTCAGGTACTCTCCAACAAACATGCACAAAAGACAAAAATCATTGCGCTGTATCTTTCCATGTGATAGGGGAAGATTCACTCTCGTTTTGCACATTTTCGAGAGCAGTGGAGCGAGGTTCTTTGTTCGGCACAATTGAGAATTCTAGCCGTTGGAGTGTTTGCGCTTCGCTTCGATCTCTGGGGTAAGGGGGGCACCGTGCGCTACCAATTTGCCCGTCACCCCTCTTTCCCGCCGCCCCGCCCACCCACCCATCCACCCACACAACCAGCTACCTACCGTGCACACATATGGCAGGAAGGTAAGCAAAGACGGCGGAAGGAAACATGGCTCTCGCAAAAAAAAAAAAAGAAAAAAAAAAACAAAAAACCATGGCTCTCGCGTGGCGGGCCCAACGAATTCTACCCTCCTTTCACCGAAAGTTTCCCGCCATTCGTCGCCTCCAGCTTTTCGCTAGCTGCTGCCGTTCGATGCTTGATGCCATCCATACCCGCCGGCTGCGACCAACCCTACGTCCGCTGGGGCTGTGTAGGTCCCACTTACACGAATTAAGAGATATTAACCGTAGATAGGACAGATCAACGGTCAAAATCTCGTAATCCGTGCAAGCGGGACCCTGCCCGCAAAAGAGACAACGGCAAGCAAGAAACACGTGTTGCCTCCCGGAACAGCGGGCTGCGTTTGGTACGCAGAGGGGCTGCATACTGTTGTCGTTCTTCTCTGTCTGTCTATCGTCAGGTCGTCGATCATTCTGTGGAGTCAAAATCTCGACTTGGCAGCAGCTCAGGTATGATGCCGGCATCGGCCTTCTCCTTAGCCATGGATGAGATCATGGTGATGGCGATGGTGACGGAGATGACCGTGGCTGTTGCTGCTTCAATCTTCACTAGGTAATTAACGGTGCGGAATAAGTGCGCGGCGGAACTGCCATCTAGGAGGAAGCCAATTATTACTGGCGAGAAAAGGTGAGAGTTTCTTTTTTTTTTTTTTTTTTTTTTTTTGTAAGTGAGAATTTTTCGGAGGAAAAAAAAAAGAGGAATTGAAAAAAGAAAGGGAAAAAATAAACGGAGGCATCCACTTTCACCTCCTCTTTTTTTTTTTTTTTTCTTTATTCCCGTCTCATAAGGACAGCGAATCCGCTTTCACCTCCTCAACATCCTGCCCTTCTTTCTTCCTCCCATCCTTTTCCAAATGTTCCGCCTTTCTGGCTCCTTCAGGCTATCTTTCCCTGCGCGCCGCCGGCCCTGTCTTGTTTTTTGTCTTCCCCCCCCCCCCCCACTCCACTCCGCCCACCCTGTCGTCTTGCCCTCGTTTTTTTTTTCGTCTTTGTTATTTTTTATTTTTAATTCTCGGTCATGCTTAGCATTTTTTTTTTTTAATTAGCCCTCAATATTCTTCCATGCCTTCTCCCTTTCCCTCATCGCCTCAGTCTCTTTGGAACTCTTGCCTCTCGATTCACACTGCTATTGCCTCCATTTATTTTTCCCTTTCTTGATCTCCTTTCCTACCGTAGTCAAGAAACGGTCCTGTTCCTGCGGGAGCTTTTATCGTGGTAAATGATTGCTTATTCTCTTAGTCTATCATCGCTTTCTCCTCCTTGAGTTTGCCCTCCTCTCTTCCTGATAACATCTTCCTCCTCTTCCTCTCTTCCTCTTTCTCCTCTTCCTCCTTCCTTACTCTTCTTCCTCGTCTACCTACTCCTCCTCATGTTTCCTTTGTTTCGGTGGTTTCCGTTTTCCAAGTTGCGTCCTTGCTTCAGGTCCGCACTCTGATCGAGCGGCGTATTTTTCTGTGCCGTGTGCTTTCTGATAGGCTCGCGTTTTCTCGCCGTTCGTTTTTGTGCGCTGCATTTTTCATTCTTAACGCATTCAGTTATTTACCTTCCTTTATTTTTTTCCTATTGGAACGTTCTCTTAGCTATTTGCATTTTTCCCTCTCTTTTGCGGGCGGGTTCTTTCTCCCAGCTGCCTGCACCGTGTCCTGCAGTACATTCCCTTACAGTCTCACGCTCCTGCGCAAATCCCATCCTCACGCGGGCGGGTTCTCTTATAGCTATAAGTACAGTATATTATTCCTATTAACGCAATATGAATATATTTATCGTGATAGCGAACTGCCCGGTGTGAACCGGAGGCAGGGAGGGAGAAGGGGGCCAACAAACGCCTGGCTGTGACAGACTGTTTCGTTGGAGTTTCACTGATTCATCATATATATATGTATTATCATATATAGTATATATCAAATGTATATTGCCAGAGGCATTCGAACTCATGACCTGTTTTTTTTTTTAACTCATGACCTGTTTATTAACAATTACATTATCAATTTACAAGTGCGTACCATTCTGCCACCTGCCTGGGTGGAGTCTAAGCACTCTTTTAGCAGCAGGAGGTGCGTATGTGGGCGGGCACTTGCCCACCTCACCCACAAATATAGGCGGTGAAACTTCGTGTCCCTGAAAAGACATGCATACCCACACCCACCCGTTCACTCACACGCACAGTACCGTTTTCACCCGAATAGGACGCCCGGTAATCATATAGCCGTCTGTGGGACAACTTCAGTCCAGAGCAGCCAAGAGAAAATACTGACAATCACTGCCCAAGAGGCTTCCTAACACGCACAAAAGATTGAAAGCAGTACAACCTCTGCGTGTTTCCCTTGCTTTCAGGAGCACTTTCTATAGCAAGGGAAAAAAACGATTGCAAGCAGTGCAAACTCCGCGTGCTTCCTTTGCTTTAGGGAGCACTTTCTATAGCAAGGAAAAACACGAAGAGCTTGTAGTGCATGTACGTTTCTTTTGAATTTCTTCTCTTCCCAAACAAAGACGTAGCCTGTCAGCAGCCCGTTTTGCGCTCGGGTGAAGCCTCCACTGTAATTTACGTATCATGTTGTGCGCGTGGTAAGGCAGGGAGGAGGAGGGGGGGGGAGGGGGAGGAAAGATTCGTCCAGGTCTGGTCGTAATTGCGGTCAGATACATCTAGGAAAGTGCTCTTGCGAGATACCCTGAGCTTGTATTGTTTGTAGTTTTTATGGTGGCGTGTTCACGTCCCCGAGTGCTAAAGCAAGGAAAACACGGACAGCTATTGTGGGAGGTCCCCACTGTCGGTAATTTGATTTAGATTTTTGTTTCTGTTCTTTTTGCATTTGGTCTATGCTGCATCTTTGCAAAAGAGCTTCTAGTTCAAAGTAGGCGTGAGACTTTTAGTAGAAAGGAACGTCAAGGAAAAACAAAGTTCTGTAATCAAGTGGTGTTAAATAGGGAATTGGATTCACTCAGTCGTGAGACTGTAAGCTAAACTGGCTGATGCTGCCAGGATAACTTCCGGGTTGAATTGGGAGGTCCCCGGCCTCTCTGAATTTTTTAGATTATAATAAAAAAAAGTAGGCGTGCGAAAAATGTGGTGGAAAGCAAAAAGGGAAAAGAAACTACCGGTCGTTAGAGCTGTATTGAGTGTAACTTTCTTCTAGATACAGCAATAATGACCGGTCGTTCTCTTCGGGTGACGAAGGTAGTGAGCAGAATGGTGGCCTATCTGTTCTCGACGCCACTTTCTCTCTCTCTCTCTCTCTCTCTCTTTTTCTCTGTGTTGATCTTGTTTCCCTTTCCGCCCTTGTGTTTCGCTTTAAACGGACTCTTCTAGCTGATAGCTGTATGACAAAGATGTATAATTATTGTGTATTCTTCTATTTGAATTTTTGTCTCTTAACCCTGACCATCCACCTCAGTTGCGATCCGGACATCTGGACGGTCATCAGACCCATGCGGTGTCGGGATACATACCGGACTTCTGGACGGTCATCATGAAACATTCTTTGACTGTATAAAGTGTTTAAACAAATTAAAAAAAAAAAAAAAGTGTTTTCTGGATTTTTTTTTTTTTTTTTTTTTTGCTTTCTTACCTTTTCGAATATCCATCAGAACCTGAAGTCGTCTGTTTATTAACAGCTATGTGTGTGTAAAAGCTTCAGCTGGAAGGCCAAATTCGACTTTTTTTAAATGTTGAAAATCCGAAATTAGAGGGTGTGTGGATCTGGAATGGAAACACCTTTTTTTGCTGAGAATCGACTCATAAAAATAAAAAAAATCTTTACTATAGAATCTCCTTCTGACGTCACTTCTCCTTTCTCTTTGTCGTCGTTTGTTTGTTTTGCCGCAATGGTCTTCGTCCTCGCTGAGCTGCATTCATCAGCTAACCACCATCGCCATTGAAGAACCCATGGTCATCGACGACGAGGCTTTGTTTTGCGTATTCCATTGCATGCATCATCAGGGAGCTCTTGAGCTTGATCTCGCATCATATATTATGATGCATAATGAGGCAGTAGGAGCTTGGCGGCGAGCTCAGTCGGGAGGCGCAGCCCACCATCGCCAGTGAAGAACCCATCTTCATCGTCGTTTTTCGTCGCCTTCGTTATCAATGTGGAACTATGTCGCCATCGCCAATAGCTTGTGCATGACGCGCCGTCTTCCTGGCAAGTGAGAGTGAGGAACCCAGATTCGCATCTTTCAGGAGGTATGAAAAGACTTGTATGTGCCTGGGGACAGCGAAGACATAGTTTTCTTGTGAAATGTTGTTGTTGATTTGCATTTTCCTTCTCTTTGACGGGGGGCATTTCTTGCTGCCTTCTTCTTTCATTCCTATCGATCTTACGGAGAGAAGTTGTTGCCTGTTCTTGGAATTCCCTTCTTCCCGTTAAGCATTTCTTGCTTAACGGATTGGAAGAGATTAGAACGTGATAGGGAGTCGGGGCGAAGGGATCTGATAGATACTTCTGCACACACACACACACAGAGAGAGAGAGAGAGAGAGAGAGAGAGAGAGAGAGAGAGAGAGAGAGAGAGAGAGAGAGAGAGAGAGAGAGAGAGAGAGAGTCTTACTGGGAAGCGATGGAAGTTCCTCGAGCGTACTCGAATTTAACGTCTTTCTTCCCTTCCCTGAAGCAAGGGGTGGCTGGTGGTGGAAGTAGGGTACGGGTAATTGGTAGCGGTGGGGAGGTATCTGGCAAAGAGGGTTTATCTGGGAAGGAGGGTGGTAATTCTTTAGACGAATGTTTAAAAGATAGGGCATCGAGCGGTGGAGGTGCTCTTCTTTCGTCTCGTGGCAGTCCTGCTGCTCTGCCTCCTCTTGCCAAGCCGTCCCCTTCTAACAGCAAGCGCACAGCCGCAAGGATAAGTGGGATCCGGACTGCAGATGCCCTCAGCGCCAGGAGGGATCCCGCGGGTGTTACCTTAGACTGGCAGTCGACCACATCTGGTCTCGATGCAAATGCTGACGATGAAAATAGCGGCAGCGAGAGCGGTCCATCATCGACGTCTGGGAAATCGAACGCCTCGTTGAGGAAATGTCTTGCAGCTGCTCGACTAGGGGGCCAAGCAGCGGGCGGCATCGTCGCCCAAGGACGGGGTGGTGGAGCCGAAACTGGAAGGAAAAACGTTGAAATCGTGGCAGAAGGGAGGGGAGTAGAAGCAGGAGGAGAAGTAGGAGGAGAAAGTGGAGGAAGAGGAGGAAGAGGAGGGAGAGGTGGAAGAGGTGGAAGAGGAAGAGGAGCAGGACGGGTAAGAACGCCTTCCTCTGCCGTTGGAGGGTTGGTACACGTGGGTGCCTCGGGGGAAAAGGGGGGGAAGCAGCAGCTCCAGACTTCTATACTGCAATTCGGTTCGCTTTGCGCCACTACGCCAGCGAAGTCCGATACGGTGCCACAAAGCAGGAAGAGAGCTAGGGAGGAGGTTGAAGAACAAGAGGAGACGCGAGGAGCAATAAGCGGCAGACGAGAAGTGAACCGGTCTTTGACAGCGTTCTTCGACAGGGCAAACGCACCTGTCGCCATCGCCGCCGTGCAGGACAGCGAGGTAGGAGAGAACGGCCATGGTGGTGTGGACGAGCCTTCCTCGAAGCGAGTCGCTCGGAGCCTACATTGCGACTTTGGGGCGAGCAGGAAGGATGGGAGCTCTGCTTATGCTGCTCTTCCTACGCCAGGAGAAGGGCAGAAATGTGATGATGGTTTGCTTGAGAGCAGCAACGGAACGGCTATGGGGGCAGATGGACGAATCTCCGCGCGACACGTGGCTGTTCCTAAGGATGCTGGGGCGGATCTTGGCGTTAAGGGTGCAAGGCTTGAGAGAGGAGAGAAGATGGAGGAGAAGGTCGCCACTAGGAGTGAAGAAGATTGCCAAAGGGTGCACAGGAACGAACTTGTGGGTCCGGAGACCCCTCCCCGTGCGGGGGAATGTGCCGACGACCCGACTGCAGAGCGGCTGTGCGAGAAGGCGCAGGAGGTAAGGGCAGCCCCCGCATCGGTAGAATGCATAGAGCTTAGCGGAGACGTTGAGGCTCGAGATGGAGAACGTGAGAGCAGCGACGGGCAAGAGGAGCAGTCGTCCACCAGAAAGAAGAACAGCGTATATATGTCAAGGCAAAAAAAGGTCTTAGGAGCTACGACCGCGAGGCTCACGAGACGGCATGAGGAGGAGGTTCTCTCCGCTCTTAAGGAGAGTGGCGGCCGAGCCACACCCTTCCGTTTAAGATCGGCTCAAAAAGTAAGCGATGGGGCCATTGCCACTCCACCTCTCCTGCTCTCAGAGAGGAGGACTTCGTCTCGCCTTGCCTGTCGATCTGCCAATGCCAAGCTTAACTGTCCATCGTCGTACCGCAATCCGGACCGGATGGATGGGACCCCGTCGGCAAAGATTGGCCTTCTTGGCCGGACCCCAGCAGCGAAGAAAGCATTGTTCACACAGGAGAAGACGACTGCTGAGACGCAAGGGAAGCTGCAGCTGGACGAGGATGAAGAGGAAGAGGAAAATAGGAAGACGAAGCAGTCGAAGAAGAAGAAGTCTGCTGGCCCGAAGGCCATCGAAAAGAAGAAGAACGGTGCTTTTTCAAGCGGGGAGAGGAACAAGAAAAAGCGGGGGCTCAGTAGCAGGAGCAGCAGCGGGCAGAAACGGTGTAAGATGGCTGAAAGAAGGTACTTCACGAAGATCAAAACGAGAGGAGTGGTGTTCAGTATCGGCGACGATGTGTACGTCAGGAGGAAAGAAGGCGATGACGAGACAAGCGACAGCGAGGTCGAGCTTGAGGAGTGTAAGATCTGTGCTGTGGCGGACAAGAGCTTGATGATCGAGTGCGACGGATGTCTGGGGGGGTTCCATCTTACTTGCCTGACGCCGCCGTTGAAGGAGGTACCGGAAGGAGACTGGTTCTGTGTCAACTGCCTAGAGAGAGAGAAAGAGGGGAGGGAGGGAGGAGGAGTGGGGCAGGTGGTACCGGTGACGACGACGGGAGGTGTTCCGGGTCCGCCGGTTTCGGGTGCTTCGAGGCGCACTCGCTCCGCTCGAGAGAGGTTTTTGGCAAGCGAACTGTACATGGCTCGCATAGAAAGCCTCTGGCGAGAACCAGATGGCAGCTACTGGTTCCGAGGGAGGTGGTTTGTCGTTCCAGAGGAGACTCACACTGGCAGACAGAATCATCACGGCCGCAGAGAGGTCTTTCGCACCAATACGCGCGACGACAACGAGATCGATTCGGTCGTGCGGCAGTGTTGGGTGATGGGACCGGCAAAGTACAGCAGCGCCTCGCGAGAGGGGGACGATGTCTTCTTGTGCGAGTACGGGTACGACGAAGCGTGGAAGCGGTTCCGCAGAATCAGTACGGACGACGACGAGGAGGGAGAGGGTGTGGAGGAGGAGGAGGAGGGGGGGGAGAGCTTGTCTGATGATCTGAGCGATGATGACGCCAGTTTCGTTCAGGGCGACGCCTCCGACGACGTCGATTCGGACACAGACGAGGATGAGGACGAAGCCGAGGCGGACGAGGAGGGAGAGGAAGCGGGTGATGATGGCGATTACGAGGGTGGAGGAAGGAAGGCGTCAACGAAAACGAGGAAACGAAGAGGAGGGGGAGGGGGTGGTGGGAGGCTGGCGGAACCCGTCAAGGGGAAGTCGACGCGGCGAGTCGCTGCGCCGAAACCTGCGACGGCCGCTGTCGGGGCGAACAAGCGGCGGTACAGGCAGCTCACGATCGAAGCTATGGGAGCCGTCGAGATACCGACTCTGGCGAGGAGGAAGGCGGTAACGGACTTCGAGAAGGCGAGGGCGGCTCTGGCGCTTGCCACGCATCCCAAGCACCTGCCATGTCGGGAGAGTGAGCGTGCCGAAGTCACCGCTTTTGTAGAAGAGGCAATATCGGCGGGGGACAAGTGCTTGGGGCGTTGCCTGTATATCAGCGGAGTTCCAGGGACGGGGAAGACGGTGACGGTGTTGGAAGTGATGAGAGCGATGAGGAGGAAGGTGGATATGGGGCTGCTTCCTTCCTTCCAGTTCGTGGAGATCAACGGGCTTAGGCTGCCGACACCCCAGCACGCGTACTCAGTCCTCTACGAGGCGTTGACAGGTCAGCGACTGGGCCCTCGCTCCGCTTTGGAGATGCTGGAGAATCGCCTCCTGCAGACAGCTGGCTTTGGCACCGCTGGTGGTGGTGGGGACCACCACCACCACCACCCTCGTCGCCCTGGTGGAAAGGCCTCTGCCAGAGCCGGCGGTGGGGACCACCACCAGCAGCAGCATCGTCCTTGCGTCCTCCTCGTCGACGAGCTTGACCTCCTCGTCACGCGCGATCAGGGCGTTCTCTACAATCTATTTGATTGGCCTACTCGACCCAGTTCCCGCCTCATCGTCATCGGTATTGCTAACACCATGGACCTTCCCGACCGGATGCTGCCCAGGATTGTCAGCAGAATGGGTCTTCGCCGTCTGTCCTTCAGTCCGTACACTCACACCCAGCTCGAGAAGATCATGAACGCTCGCCTCGCCGGCATCGACGTCTTTCAAGGAGCCGCTGTTGAGCTGGTGTCTAGGAAAGTAGCTGCTGTTTCTGGCGACGTCAGACGGGCTCTTGAGCTATGCCGGCGAGCAGCGGAACTTGCCGAGGAACGAAGTCAGAAAGCTGCTGCTGCTGCTGCTGCTGCCTCTGAGTCATCAGAGACACAGACCGTGCCAGCGGCCGGTCGTGCTGCCGCAGACTCCCTTCCTCCTGCTGCAGCTGCTAAGTCCTCTTCGGATGTAGGGACCACCACCACCACCAGTCGAGGCATAATATCTCAACGTCGTGTCTGCATGTCCGATATTGATGCAGCCATCAAGGAGACGTTTGAATCTCCTCACATGCAGCTCATCAAGAGGGCAGCTCGACACGAAAAAGTGTTTCTTGTGTCCATTCTGCTAGAGCTGCGCAAGAGTGGCATGGCCGAGACCACCTTTGAGCGGGTATCGGAACGCCACCTTGAGCTCTGCAGAGTCAATGGGGAGAACCCTCCCAGTTTCGATATGCTCCTCAACATTGGTTGTCGTCTGGGCGCCTCTCGACTGCTTCTCTGTGAAGGTGGACAGAAGCACAGACTGCAGAAGATTCAACTCAACATCCCCACCGATGACATCAGCTTCGTGCTGATGAAGGACCCCCAACTACCTTGGCTTGTCCGTTTCTTGTGACGAATCCAAATGTTGGGGGGGGAGGCCACGGGGAGGGCGCAGGGGGAGGGGGGTGAAAGAGGCATGGTCGCCTCTCAAGAGAAGCACAAGCTGCCGAAGATGCACCTCAACATCCCCAGAAGTGATGCCAGCTTCATGCTGAAGGAGGTGGTTTTACTACTTTGGATTGTCCGGTTCTTGTGGGGCAGCCTTAGTTGGATAAGGGCGGGAAGAATGCGGTTGGAGGGGGGGGAAATTGGGGGGGAGACAACAACAAAGACCGTGAAAAACAGCGACGACGTACACAACGAATGCATCTCGCCATCGCCGCATGCTGTGCTGTTCATTGTTCTTTCTCTCTCTCGTAGTGAAGAATTACTAGGACGCGTTAGGGATTCGTTTTTTTTTTTTTTTTAACGTATCTTACTGTAAATAAAACTCATGTATGGAACGGACATAAAGTAATTGAGAAAGAAAGAGAAGGATGACGACAGGTGATCTTTGAGACTTAGCGCCTTGTTTCCGTAGTGATAACACACACAGAGAATAGAGATGGAATGCGGTCACAGACGAAGAATGACAAAGGGGCACGGACGGGATACGACAGAGCCAGACGACCTAGTAGGATATAAATAAAACAGTGCTGGGGTGAAGAGGGCAAAGGACCACTCACACACTAGGAGATCCAACCACACGCATACTCCCAATCACCCTCTTTAGCTAATCTAAGAATAGGAAAGATTCATGCATTCAATCATCCATATCCTTTGGTTGTGCAGTCATCATGATGTGGGTGAAGAGCAAAACGATCCACTCACTCATGAATCCTGCGTCCATTCAATAGAGAGCGCGCAAAGATTGATGTACATGCAATCCACACATGCTCAACTCATTAGACTTGACCAATCACGTCAATAAGCCAAAATCCACGCTACATCGCCACGACGAGAAATCTTGAATTTCCATCACCCGTAAACCGCTCTCGTACGGCGACGTACAGATGGCATACACCCACTCGTACGGCGACGTACACATGGCATACACCCAGAGAATCAACCTATGGAATAGACTACCTGTCAAGGACTCGGCCACTAACTGTCCATCGGTGCCCACCCGCTGAAACATTGCCGATCGTCCTTCCGCCGATCCCACCCGCTCATTCTTCCGCCGATCCCACCACCACGGAAGTTTGCCACTCTAGACAAATACACGCTCTGTACATTATCTCACCGTTTCTGCTGTTTCTTTTTTATGCTTGTATCCAAAATTATGTTCATATCTTTCGTAAGAAGTACTAGGAACACCTTGCCAGTCTGAGGAACAACCGGGCGGGTCCCCATGGTTGACCCCTGGTACGTATAGCTACCGTCTTCCCCCGAAAAAAGGTACGGTGATTCTGCCTGTATGTGTGGCACAACCTTCAGTGCACATGGAGTGAGAAGGACAGGACGTTCTGCTCGGGCGAAGGCGGGTAGAGGCTGCATCCGACCATCTCCGTAATGGGAAAGCCGTTGGGCACTACAGTAGGTGATGTTCTGAATCCACAGAGTGGGAGGATTTCACACAGAATGAGCAGATGCGAGATACAACACGCTTTCTATTCTAAGCGTGAGCGTGAGTACATCCACGTGTCGCGCGGAGATTCGTCCATCTGCCCGCATACCCGATCCTTCTCTCGGGCTCTTGTATTGGGGAGATACAGCCACGTGTGCATCTTGCCTGGTTCTGTGAAATCGCATCACTCGCGTAGGATCTGCCAACTGCAAGGCACATTGAGATGCAGACGTCTGCCTTGAATGAGCATTCCAGTCAAAGTTACTGAATGAGCATTCCAGTCGGAAGTTAATGAAATGAGCATTCCAGTGGGAAGGTAATGAAATCTTCGGGCTTTGGTTGAGAGTTGATTACTAATCATAATTTGTTGATGATGATTCTAGTGTAGATCTTCTTTTCAAGTGTCTTTTGACTCTTTTTTCCTATAGCAGTCTTTAGCTGTGAACTTCCACAGTGGTAGCGGTTTTCACGCTTCCCATTCCCCTTCTGGTGATTGGACAGGGAGCGAGCAGATTGAGGTTGCCAATCTATACTTCCAGAGGGCGTTTTTTTTTTTTTTTTTTTTTTTTTTAAGCTATTTTTGAAGCCCAAGCGATTCAATTGCCTAGCTCAGTCGGTAAGACACGCAAGTGGCATTCAGGAGGTCTTGGGTTCAATTCACATTGGCCTCATGTACCTTCCTGGGCAAGATTGGCGCCCGCCACCTAGAGATATGTCGTTGGTCCCCCCCCGAGTGCCATTGAGCAGAGACTGCTGATGCTCATAGAGGGGGGAACCACCACCGGAGGGGAGGCACAGCGACTGGCCCGTAGAAGAAGCTCTTTCGGTCCTGATGCTACCGGCTGACCCCTGGCCTGTATCACCCACCTGCTGTAGCATGTATGGCATCTGCTGGTGGGTGCAGCTCCTGCATGTTCCCTCGTTGGAGGCTTGAGCACGGATGTGGCTGCTATGGGGTTCTCTCTAATACTGTAATGACAATAAATGTAATACTATAATGACAATAAAAAAAGGCCTGAGAGGGCAGTTTTTTCCCTTCCTTGATACTCTTGCCTTGATAAGTGCTGCCATGATTATTCTGTCTTTGTTTCTAGGTAACCTGAATAGTCTAGGTCTGGGCGCTTTATGTTTTTAGAGGTTAGGGGTTGAGGGGTTTGCGGGAGGAATTTCACCTTTCCATGGACATCTGCTGCAGGCTGTGGGGTCCTGCAAACAGTTTTTTTGCGGCAAAGTTTCTCCTTTCTGCGGTCCTTTGGGGTCCAACCCTTAGAGAGAGGTTAGGGGTTCTGCCACTCTAGTAATTAATGATGCCATATTAGCCTCTTTTGGGTGCGAGTTGGCTACGTGACCCTTGCTATGGAAACACATAGTCAAACTCAAGCAAGGCTTGTCCTGTTGGTGTGCTGTGCATGTGGAAACGCGCGCCGATGCTGCAGGCAAAGAGTGGAAAAAGAGAAAACAAGAAAACGGAACGGGGAAAAGAGAAAAAGAAACGGAATGTTTTTTTTTTTTTTTTTTTTTTTTTTTTTTTTTTTTTTTTGTTGAAAAGCCCTTTCTGCAAGTCCTCTATCCCAGTGGCGCTAAGAGAGCCACCGGAATCGACTGTCTGCCTGTCGTGCTGCTCCATTTATTGGTAGGGAGCGACACCTGCTGGAACAGCGTTCCTTGGATACATCATCATACATCATGTCAGCACCGCATTTGTTTGGCCTGTGACCCTTTCAGCTTCTAGTGTGGAGCAGTTCACTGCCCTTGGGGCGGCATAGAGACCCCTTTCCTACTCCTAGAGCTCCAGGTTCCTTGTGGCCCAACCCAACCCCCATCTGGGGGGTTACCAACTGTGTCCGCCTAACCTATGTACCCCTGTAGCTTGTTAAGTTGGTAGTCTGGGTTCCATTCCAGATGAATGCTACCCCCCTGGTCCTCCCCTGGTCCCTGTGTGTTTAGCTGATGAAAGAAGGTGAACAGGTATGCGGTGGATGTTATTCAGGAGCTATTTATGTCGTGCTGATGACATGCAGTACTCACAGCTGAGTTAGACTTCATCTTTTCTCTATTTATGTCTCAAGATGAAGTCTAACTGTTAAGTCTGACAAGTTGAGACACGCTGTACTCACAGCTGAGTGGAGTAGGAGGCTTGTATAATTGATCTAGTTTAACCTAATGCACTGCTCTGACTTTACTTTGAGATTGTGATTCGACAGGCAGATGTACTCAGCAGCCTAAGCTAATTAGGGTTTCAGGGCTTCAAGTGAACGTTTGAACTTTCCAGAATGTATCTGCCCTTGATTCTGGGCCGTAGTGGATGGATCTGAAGGCAATCACGTTCAGAGCTTGGTATCCCTTTTCTTTTGTTTTGATTTTTTTTCTTAAAAAATAAAATAAAAAATACGACACCCTCAATTATATTTCAAATTTCAAAATAGCCAAATTAGGGCCGGGGTCCGCATAATTCCACCGGGAGAGCTTGGTATCCCTTTTCCCCTTTTTCGTTCTTCTTTTTTTGGCTGTTTGTGTTGTGACCGTAACCCCCCTGCCAGCCCTCTCTATCCATTTCAGGACTTCACTGTAACGTTAGCACTCCAGAAATGCATTTGGCTGCAATTCTGGGCAGCAGTGTATGAATCCGAGCTTGGTAACCCTCTTCCTCTCTGCTTTGGCTCCCCTTTAGAGAAGGGGAGCATCCAATACCCGCCAGCGAGCTCTTTCCAGAACGGATCTGGCTGCACTTCTGGCCAGGCCATTTTCAGGGAAACATGAGTGGAAAAAAAAAAAAAAAGACGGCCTCCTTACATTCCAGCTGCCGGCAGCAGGTCCAGCAAAAGGGGTGTTATCTGTGCCAAGCGACAAATGTCCCATATGCCCGCCCCCTGCAGGTACACAGGGCACTTTCAGGCTTGGCACCAATAGTGGGCGAAGTACTGGTGGTGGCTTAAGATCCTGTAAGACTGCACTACGGAAATGACATCCGCTTGGATACCTTATGCCTTCACCGAACATTCATTACATTATCTGACCCCACCCTCGAGACCTCAAGCGCTATTCTCGCAAAAAAAAAAAAAAAAAAAAAAAGGGAAAAAAAAAAAGAGACCCCACAAATCTGGTCCATCATCTGCAGTGGCTGACCAACAAGAAATGGTTAGACCACCAGTACCTGGCCCAGCTATCGGCCACGGAGAAAAACAGAGTAGAAATGTTTCTAGTCGGATGGATGAATTTGGGCGCTCCTGCAGTGGCCCGTACTTTTCCCAAAATTGTGGCTTGTTAACAGGCACAACTTTACGAAGTACTGGTGGTTCAAAAATACCACTCAAAAAAAANNACCACCACTACCTCCCAAAGTTGCAGTGTGTTACCAGCCGCCCCAATGATGAACGAGGGCCACTAAGGGAGGGCCCGAATTCATCCAACTAGAAACATTTCTACTCAGATTTTTCCCACGGCTGATGTACTAGTATGGGTGGAAATGCTAAGCCCTCCACACCATACCAGAGCCCGAAAGACGCGAGTTCACTGACCAGGCAAGATGGGACGTGGACCTGCAATGTGATTCCTTGTGGACGTCCCCTCCTGAACCCCTGGAGAAGAAATGAACCCACGGTAGTGGAGCCCTCTTCCTAACTGCGTGATGATGGGCTATATCCTATTTTTGGTGGTCCACACATGTTGGGGGATGATGGGCTACCCTTTTCATAACATAAAGACTTGCAATGGCTCACGTGGGTAAGCACACACATA